TTTGCTCGACGAAGTCAGCGTTGCTGCTACCTTCCCCATTAGACATGGCCACCACTTCGATGAGGCCTACAAGACATATGTCCAACGTTAACTAACATGACATATATACATGAACAATAGACCATGCATAAGATTACTGAAAAGCAAGCTAGCAACTACTGGACATGCATAAATCAGCCATTCCATCCAAACCAACAAATCAAAACGAAAAACATGATAAACACAACACAACCTGGTCATATTGTTCCACCAAACACAGAAACATCCAATTTAAGCAAACCAAACAAACCCAAATCAAAAAGTTTCAAAAAAAATAAGGAAAATAAACGAGACGTCCTAAATATCCGACACTGTAACAAGTTCACCTTAAAACGTTAACACATAACACAAAAAGAACCCATCAGTTCCCAGAAGTCGCCCAACCCTATGGCCTATCCCAGTATCCATCAAACTCGCTGTACACCAAAAAGGTTCGCAAATGGAGCTGCAATGCTGCTTTGTAGTTGCTTCTGCGTAAGCCACCCGATAATATGGTCATCATCGGGTTGGCACATCATAACCTCTCGATAATCAGCGTTGTCCATAAGAGATGATGCAAAGTGGAACAACGGTGTACCCACCAAGGCAAGAATGAATTTCAACCTGTCCATGCACTTTGAAATGGTGTACAACGACTCATTCCCAGTTAAGTGCCTCACAGTAACTTTTTGGTTTTTAGTACGGATGACATTGCTTAGATTGTTAACACTGTCAGCTATGGCATATGCTCCACTAGTCGGCTTCCTCGACTTTCCTGAACTTGCAGGAGTATTCCTTTTCCTATTTTCGCCGGGGTCAACCGCAGGTTCAACACCTTCCATTGACAACTCAGCATCTACGTCAATACCAACAGAAGGGATTGGATCTGCAAAACGCCGCATACCAAGGCTTTGAACTGAATCAGAAGATCCCTTGTTATCTTCGACAATCCTCTCCCCCGGTGTCCAATGATGTTTGCCAGTTGGAGCAGCGCCTGTAAAGACAATCTCTATCAACTCCCGGTGCCCCAACATCTTAGTCCTGAACTTTGCACAACTCTTGTTTATCTGCAGCAAAGGAAACACAAACCATCAGTGACAATATGTTACAATTTTTTTTTTAAAGCAATGTAGAAAGGTAACAAAATAGTATAAATAATTTACCAGTTCCATACGATCCCACTATTCATCGGAAGCCTAAAACATGCCTGTTTCAGTGTCAAAGCCAATTCCGGTTATGCCTTCCGTACGGTCCATCAACTTCATCCAAGCAGTCCATTCTCGTTTCAGGCATGCGTACTTGTTCTTCAACTGCTTGACATCATGTTTTCTACCAGTTTTTTTTTCAAACTTCTTGGCCAAAGACTTATATCTAGCGCTGCTCAAAACCATGAATGGTCGGTTGCCCTCAACAATCTCATCGGCAATAGGCTGTAAGAAAAGTTATGCTGTGTGGATTCATAATCCCACACAGCTTTGTGAACATTTTGGCTGTCGGCAAGAACGTTAGCTCGGGCACTTCCAATCCCTTTATTTTTGGCAACAGTGGAATCCATACCGACAATGCAACTGATAAATTAAAGCATAAGTACGTTATAAATGTATGTGTATCACTCACCCAAACGAATTGGCGCAAAAACTTATAAAATTAACAATTTTCACAGTCATTTGCACATAAAATTAAGATGAACTACCAACAAAAAATTTTGTAGGTCGAAACCACCATTCCATTACATGTCATTGACAATGACTTTGTAGGTATCATGTCCACAACAAACAAAAGTCATTACAATATTAGCTTTGTTAGGGTGTTACAAGACACTTGGAACATTTTCACATACGCAACAATAAGATTACAACAACAATGCACAGCACAGAAACAATGATTTTCAAGATGCGCAACGTTTGTTGCATGTTAATGACATCATCCCGCAACTGCATGACAATGTCGTGCGTGGCGGAGTCAGACTCTATGTGCAGTCGCCTAGGTTCATCGCACCAACATCCAACGTAAACATGGCTCACAAAATGTACGTACAAAGCTATTAGTAAACTGGTTTAAAAGAAATGACAATATTTTTTAGCAAAAAAATTGGGTGTACTCACCACAGGATTTGGACACGCATAGTAAGCCCATCTTGGATTTTTGTGAGATCTGGAAATCTTGACAACACATTGACCGTAGTCACAGGCACACGTACGACGTGGCCATGGAGTAGATGTACCACTTGACATGAATGAAGCCGTGCTTTGTTTTGTAACATAGATGAATAGTAGACGAACATAAGGTGTAAGACAATATATGGTACATTTTCGTGAATAAGTTGTGTGCTTGTCGTATATGATATTTGTGGTAATGAGATGGTTATGTCCCACAAGATTTGTTAGAATACACCCTGCTGCACTTAACTACATAATTGGTTTACCACTACTGTTTATGGCATAAATACAATAACACATACCTACCAATGCATATACACACATACACCTATAGGATTGCATACACATAAGCAACACTCTCCAATGGACCCAATACAAGAGAATTGAAAAAGAACGCTCACTGTTTTTCGTTTAACATTTAGGAAAGTGTTACTAATCCAACATAATTGAAACGACTAAAATTAACACATTATAATTACAAAAAAAGGAAACCAGCATTATCAGCTATGGCAGATGTTCAGTTAGTTAGTTGGCCATTTAATTATGATTACATTGAAGACCAGACAGAAACACATATAGAAAGTAATAGACAGTTCAGGCAAAGGCACAATTATTGGGTGGTGAAAGAGCAAACAACAACAAATAGTCACAAATCACAAAAAAACCAAGAATTGCTAACAGATTTGAAAGACAAAATAGAAAAAAAAAAAATTTAACAAGTTCAAATGATGTGCTCTGTTTTGTCTGTATTTCAAAAAATGCTTCTCCAACCAAAATCTGGATACAACCAACTATTGGACAGTAGGTCTACTGAGTTAAGAAAAAAAAAATTAAAGCATTCTTAACAGATGTTGAAGAAAATATGGTTCACATTCTGTAATTTACAAAATGGTAACAGATGTAAGAAATTAACAAATAAATTTAATTGCCTTGTAAAAATAAATTGCTCAGTTCAGTTCAAGAACTAACAGATAAATGGCATTCCAATTGCTCTGTCTACTGCACCAAGAAGCAAGACCATTTGTAGTGTGAGTTCAAAAAAATTGTGTTCAACGACTAACAACAAACAGGGATAAAAAAAACAAAAAAAACCAGTTTGACGTCCACCCAGTTAGAAAAAAAAAATCAAAAAATTCCACAAGTTTCCACAAATATTGGTAACATATAATAGTGGAATTAAGAAAAAACCGAACAAAAAATTTTAAAAAAATAAAATAAAATAAAAAATAAACCAAAAGAACACTAGCATCCAACTCCTGTTCAGTTCATCCACAACAGATCAGAACCAAGTATATCGACTTTGGTTTTAAACCACCATTGACACCAACAAAACCTTTTTACCAGTGATCGAACTTCAGAACGACAGATTTTCAACATGTACATAACAAATAAGTGACATCTCGTGCAAGGAGACGAAAACCCAAAATAGAGCGAGTTATGCGTACTAGAGATGCAACAAAAGCACAATGTTACGCGTGAAGGATGGTCGACGCGTTGACGAAGCACTGTAGGCCTGGATCGGTCATCCGATGCTGTTTCGTCGCCTCCCCCCTCTCTGGTTCTTCGTCGCCATCTGGTTCGTGTGTTTCATCAGGAAACCCTACCAAATACATATAAACGTGCGACCAATTGTATAGGGGGTATTTTCGTCATTGTCCATTCCTACACGTGATTCCCAGCACACGTGTTTGACCTTTTGTTTGTTTGTAATTTTATAGCCCATTTTTGTCGTGTTGTGTTTATATGGTCCCAAAACGATTGCCAAACTGCAGCTAAGTATAACTATTAAGACCTATTGTTAGTTTACTCAATTGAAAGTGAATAAGCATAAATGATAATTTCAAGAAGGGATTGGCTTCCCTCAAGTCTAATTTGGGATTAGAGGGTACATTTGGGCCCGTGGAGGCCCACCACGGGTCCCGTTTCGATAATTCAAACTATTCAATGTATAAAATTTGTCGAGTATTATATGTTTGTAAAAAATTACGATTAACCGAATATCGATAACTTTTTCATCGGATTAGATTTCTGTCAATTATTTATTTTTTTACTATCATTTTTTTTATATACAAAAGTAATTTGACCACGTAACTATCGATATCCAATCAACGTGATTTTTTATAAATATCTAATACACGACAAATTTTACATATTAACAGTTTAAATTATCAAAACAAAATTCATGATAAACCCCTACAAGCCTAATAATATCCTCCGGTCTGATATAAAACCGAAGGAAGCCAGTCCTTTCAAGAATTAGCCACTGGTACTGCTACAACAGAACACAACCAACGTTTTATTTTTTTATTTTTTTCCTTATTCTTCTCTCTAACACAACGAAGTAACTTCGTAAAAGCAAACTAATCACATCCAAAAAACAATTAGTTTAACCTGTGTAAATAATCACCTAAACACCTGATGTAAGATCGACACAACACAAATTTATATATATATATATTCGTATTCTTATTGAATCAAAGTTTCATAGAACGGGCTTGACCACCCAAAAAAATATATAATAATATATCATAATATATTATAAGTATATATTCTATTCTTATTGAATCAATAACAACCTGACTTGCCCCCCCCCCCCCCCAAAAAAAAAAAAAAAAAAAAAAAAAAAAATGGAAAAAAAAAAAGAGAGAATATTCAATAAAATTTCGTAAATATCAAAACCCACTAGTATTAATCTAGCATTCCCAGCCTAAAATTGGCATAGCGATTGTCCTTATCCTTACCGCCGCTGCAACCGCAATAAATTCATCAAATTCATCGTTTCCATAGAACAGAAAGCATATACGCCGCTGCAACCGCAATAAATTCATCAAATTCATCGTTTCCATAGAACAGAAAGCATATATAGCTATCATAAGAAACATTCATAGTTAACAAACAGGAATGTACTCTCAAAAGAAACAGTATCTGATCATATAGCTTCCCAAGAAATTTTCAATTCCAACAACAATGCAAATAGGACAATAGGGGCAATATTTCTAGTTTCCTTGCCTAAACCCAAACTCTGATCCCAATTTGTGAGACAGATCAAGACGACTCGCTTCCTCTTGGGGAACGATGGATGTCATCATCGTCATCATCAACAGGAGGGCGTCTGTCAACGCGAGGACTAGGGCTGCGACTGACGCCATTAGCTTCTGAAGGGCTCCTATACCTTCCAGCAGCAGGACTATCCTTTTCAGGGCTTCTGCTTTTTGGTCGGGGGCTCTCGCTGTACTCTGACCTTTCCTGCTTAGTAGGCTGCTTCCCTCTCTTGGGCCTTTCTCTGATGTCCTCCTCAGGGGTTAGGCTGCGCTTCCTTGTTTTGGAGGGAGGCGGACTACCCCTTGGCTCCGGGGTTCTACTATAGCTCCTTGATCGTTTCTCTTCACGCTCAATCATCCGTTGTCTTCTTGGAGGAGATCTTGACCGGCTGTCACCAGAAGGGGTAATTGAGTAAATATATAACTCAAAAAAAGACTCAAAATTGGCCTTAAACAAAAAGAAAGCAATATGCGTGTTTGAAAAGCATGCTGGAACTGAAATCACAAAACATTTCCATCCTCTACATGGATTAAAAACCCCACCAATAAATACTGCTTGCTCAAGGATCCAACAGGTACTCAAATGGTTATTTCACTCAACTTCATTAAAAACACTATTGATCTCTCCTTTTAGTTGATATCATTGTCAATGACAACACTCATAGCCATTGCTGTCAAATCGCGAGAATCATAAATCATTTTGCTAAAATAACAAATCATGAATTGTAATACTCACTATGTTCCGCATAATATATGATTTTATGCATGTACATGAAAAAAAACACAAGGTTTAAAATGAACTAAATATCAATATAACTAAATTGTGTATATACATAATTACGTATATCAATATAATTAATTGATCTCTTTTTTTATTTTGTCAAAATGATGCTGTTTTATATTATGCAAACAAAACTGATTCACAGTGAATTACCATGAATCATGGCAAATCGCAATGAATCGTATGATTCACTCAATTCAAGATTCAACAGCAGCACAAATCAAATTATTTAGGTTGAAACTCAATATTGAATTGTATGGATTGAATCATGAATCGTAAGATTCTAACCTCCATACTCATAACTCAATGCATAAATTCTGCAGTGCTCAGAGCAAGACCTATCATAATCGTTGTACCAAAGAAGTAATAACCAACCTGTAGCTAGGGCTTCGACTTCGGCTTCTTCCACGACGAGGAGAGCGTGATCTCACTGGTGATCGAGAGTAACTCCGATCACGTCTGCATTACAACCAAATTAATGACTAAATGGCTGAACAAGATGGCAAGGTATTACCATCATCAGGCTAAAGCAAAATGTAAAATTAGAGGCAGAATCAGAAAATCTTCAATACCCAAGCTTCTTCTTGGGAGCATTCCGGCAATTTTTTTCTATATGCCCTCTTTCACCACAACGATAACACTTGTTCTTCCAGTCTCCAGCTTTGCAATCTCGAGCCCAGTGACCATCGATTCCACAATTGAAGCACCGTCCAGACCCAGGAGAAGGACCTCTACCCTGATGTTCTCGAGAACCTCTTGGCTCCTAAAACCAAACAAAGCATTATTAAGCTGCAGATTCAGTTAATAAAAAAATAATAAATAAAAATCTTCAAAGGAATAGGCTCAATAACACCACCATAAGCATTAATCTGATAATAAAGAAATGGTCAGTGTATCATACTAAAGATTGGAGATACATATACTGTACACACAGTTCAGAGAAATAATAGAACACCTGTCATGATTTATAGGTAAGAGATCATGGTTTTCCTCACAAAACCATATATCTGATTGATCTCAAACTAGCAAAACAAGTCAATTGATAAGGGATAACATCAAACACAACCCCAAAAAGCCAATAAATCATAATAAATAAATGTAGTACAGCCAAAAAAACACCAAAAAGCTGACAGATAATTCCAGTTGATGAAATGAAATCAAAGTGAAAGATAATTCCAGTTAGCCCCTTCAGCCTCATGCAAAGATTGCTTCCGCAAGCCAACTTATTTGTCTCCATGATCATGCAGATAAAGATGCCATGGGAAAGAAACAATAAAATGAACCACGTAAGCATGAAAGCACAGACAATAAAATGCAGTGAGAACTCTTCATAGACATCAAAATAATTATGTGATCAAATCCAGTTTGGAACGTGTAGTGGATTTCAACAGCAAGAAGACAAAAGCATGTAGCTGCAATACTTACTCCCTTTGCAAATTCCACAACAATGCGATTTCCGTCAAGTTCTCTACCGTTTAAGCCATATCTTGCATCATCAGCATCCCGGGAGTCACTAAATTCCTGTAAATAAAAGTTGAGAGGCAAAAGCAAACGCAGCAAAACTCAAACTATACAATCCAATTTGTAATCTACCTTCTTTTTCCTTTTCTTTTTTTTTTTTTTCTCTCTTTTTCATAAACAAGTGAAAAGATAAGTATTTAAGTGCATTCATAAGAAAGAAATTAGACACAAATGAGGGTTGATACATACAACGAAAGCAAAGTTGTGCTTCATATCCACATCTCGTACTCTGCGGAAATGGTTGCCAGAAACAGTAAAGCCATCATTACTTAAGTACTGAAGTATATGATACTTCGCCCTCAAGACGAACTAAACACCAGTTTGAGATTGTTGCCAATTCCATAAAAACACGCAATAACATTACAGAAAGAATCGCCAAAGTCTCTTAGACCATCGGCAAGATTTTCCACCAAGGCCACCCTCTCATCATTGACCTCCAGGTTTGGGAGAAGCCCAGAAACCTTCAACAAGATCATTCAAGTTAAAAAACATAGACACCTGGAGGTGCAATGTTCCTTCAGAGATAACATGATGAACAGTTAACAAAAATCCCAGCACAAAAACTGGATTGGCTTGCCAAATGACTAAATGTCTCCTCCTTGTCATAAGAGACAATCCCCAGCCCCTAAATTGATTGAACAATGAATCCAAAAAACTATGTGCATTTCTTAGTAAAACATGAAATACATTTTTTTCAATTAAAAATCCACGCATCTATGGGGATGCCACCCATGTACAAGGAAAAACAAAATGTAAAACGAAAATTCTCCTATACAACATCAAAACAAGAGATCCCCATACATAATATGGTCTCCTAAATGTACCCTGCGCTGTAAAATAATATGGTTTACACTACTATAGTGATCGTTTGTTTTCAAGAGAGATAGATGCATGCGCTCAACAAATGGAAGAAACAGTCAAGTTTTATATCAAAAATACCACTACATCTTCATAAACTATTATCTTCTTTTCTAATATTTTTTATTTTTTGTATTGGGGTGGGTGGGTGCTTCAAATAATGAGTAAACAAAGTTCTGAAAAGCTAAATTGGAGGGATGAAGGGTTGTAATACTATGTACTATATTTAAAAGATGTAACATTGATTTGGCTAAAAAGTAGGCATAATTTATTACACTAAGCATAGAAAGTAAGATTAATATGGAGGATAACAATAGGTGTCACAAAAGTAAACATGCCTATGCACTAGTAAAAAGGAGAATAATGTGCAAATCACATAACACTATAAAGTTAAAGAGTAAAGTGCAGGGCATTTGCTTGCCTCCCATATCTGCTGAAGAGGCTCTCCAAGTCCCGCGAACGTGTCCTTGAAGACAAGCGACCAACGTAAAGCCGAATATTGCCAGAGTGATCATCATAACGAGGCATTTTCAAACTGCAGTAATAAGATATTCTGTTACCAACAACAATAAGCATTAACCAAGTAATTCTGGCTATAAATTTTGTTCACTATAAAACTATAGTAATTGGGGGACAGAGGGGCAGGGAACCTTTTTTCACAGAAGACTGAACAAAAGCAACTTAACATGTCATAGTAAAACGGTAAAAAAATTGATTTTCAGAAAGCTCACATCAAAGCCTAAAAGACTAATTCCTCAATCTTATATGCTTGCTTACAAATCATCTGGTCAACACAACCAAGTCTTACAATATCCCAACCTTGTGTCGGCTATACAAATTAAATAATCCAATCTGCAGTATCTAGGTCAAATACTTTGTCAGCTATCCATTGTGAGCAATTTAATCAATATTCTGTTTTAGCATCGTGCAAATTTAAGTACTAACTCCCAAAGAACCCAAAGGTGCAACATAAGTCAATTACTACAATTAAACACAAGCAGATATGCACCAACCATGACCAACATCCCATATGGAGCAAACATCCAATCCAGAAATCTAGTAGATTGCATGAAAACACAATCACAAGCTTGCAAAACAAATATTTCATTACACAAATGGCATCATGGCATTCAATTCAAAGAAGATTTCTAGTAAAACCTCCTATCCTAATCCATGTAGAAAAGCCTCAACTTGTACAAAAAAGATCTAATCATCATCATAACTAGTAAGTTTTAAATGCCATTTTTAGCTGTGACATCTCATTTTATTGCTGTAAATTCTAATTTATTTTTGTAAGCCTTACAAATGCTTCTCTTTGCTCATGTTCAATAAGCTGCAAATCATAAAGCAAACACAAAACGGGGATGGGTACTCAACTTTAAGGAACTTAAATATACAGATAGGCGTGCGCGCACGCACTCCTACGGTCCTACCCATGGTTTTTAGTAACAATATGGGATATGTATCCGTATTGGTCAAATATCAGCCAATCAAAATTTTAAAGGCAAAAGAGCAAGGTGATGCGTAAGCCTTTTGAGTTTTGAATTTTATAAATATAACATAAAAATTATTTTTTAAAAAAATAATAAAAGTAAAATGTATAAAAACCATTATAAAATGAATTAATAAATTCAAGCATTGTAAAACAAAAAAACAAAGTAGACTATAAAGAACAATGTTATAAGATGAAAACAATTGAAACTTTAAAATACAACACAGACCAATGTACAAATTAGCAATAATACATTATCTTTTTTAATAAATGAAGGCATTAAAACTTTAAAACACAACAATGACCAATGTACAAACTAATAATAATAAAGGCCATTATCTTTTTAATAAATGAAGGCTCTCTCTTCTAGCCAAACAAAAAGGTAGAGAGTTAGAGACCCAACAAAAAGAGATAGACAAAGATACACACACACACACGCACACAGAGACAAGGAGACTGAGAGACAAAGATTGATGGTCTCTATATGGAAGTCAATGTTAGAGCCTACATTGTTTGGGGAGAAGAAGCTTAGTTGAAGGCAAAGGTGAAGGTGAAGGTGAAGGTGAAGGTGAAGGTGAAGAAGAAGATGATTGTCTTTGTCTAAGTCATTGGAGAAGAGAAGATCAACCATCTTCGCAAGTTGCGTAACAGGTAAGATTCATTTTTTTTTATTCACATCACAGAATGCGTAAGCCTCAAGAGATTATGCGTGAAAAGCGCATGATACGCATCTAAGGTGAATGCCACATCCTGTGAGGCTTAACCCTTGGTGTTTCGCCCAAAAAATACACTTTGGTGCGTTTTTAGCACTCTTCACCCTGATGCGCTTGGAAAAGTTGGGGCCAATAACTTGTATTGGCCAATACATTAATGAATAACTATACCGGAAGTCCAAAATCCCCAAACGTGAAGGGCAATACATTACATAACAGCCGATATTTAAAACCTGGTCCTACATACCCATGCACACCCTTATGGCCAAGTAAGTCCAAACCCCACTTGTCAGCAAAAAGGGCCTATTAGAGCAAAGATGATTTATAGGTAAGGGATGACCTAGGCGACTTCAGCTAAGGATAAAGTATTACCACTATCATATCTTACCAGCAAAGCTAGCTACCATATTCCAAACATAGGGGAAAAAATCAACTTTTCTGCACTATATCTCAACCAACAAAGCAACCCAACTCGTTGTTCAACAAGATTTTGAAACCCCAAGTATAAATTACCTGAATTAACCACCTAGAAGAGAATCACAAAAACGTCAATCGTGGACACAAAAGCAAACTAGGGAAAACGACGAACACTACTGATGTAGCAACTTTCTAACTCGAATCAAAATCAGTATCAGAAAACAAATAATCATAGATGCAACCACATAGTATACACACAAATTCACACACACACACACACACACACATATATATGTACAGAGAGAAAAATTGAACATAAAACAGGGGAATTAAGAGATGTATAAACCCTAATCGAAGGAATTAAGCGGCATAGTACAGCGTACCTGAGCACTGATAGGGCTCTCGCGACTCTGAAATTAACAACCCTAAAACTTTCTTTGATATGAGAGAGAGAGAGAGAGAAGAACAAGAAAGTCCGAGTGTCTCAATTTATAGCAACCAAAAAGTTTCGACGATTTGGATCCGTTTTTTTCACTCAATCCAATGGTTGGGCTTCGTCGATTTGAAATCGGTCATTTGTTGCTGTGTAGACCCAAAACGGACCAACTTGTTGCTAGCCCAGCCCAATTTCCCAAACTAATATTTTTGTCTTAATTACACTTACATTGCTTCATAGATTTGGATAGAGATTTATAAAATAAAATAAAAAAAAAGAAAAATTTATCTATAAATCACATCTCAAGAAATAATAATTCATTTAATCTCATTAATTTTGAAAAGGTAGATTTAATATATTATTTGAAATTAAATTTACAGTTGTATCCTTATTTTTATGAGAGATTGACTAATGAGTCCCATATTTTGGATTTATAATCCATATAGTCTCATATTTTTTCTTGTGATCCATTTACTCATTTTGGATGTGTAATGACTCATTTGCCCGTAATATTGGACTGTCACATTTGAAAAAAAAATATACTAAGGGATGTTTTTAGTGTTACATCATACCCGCCACATTGAAGTGTCACATTTAGTAAAAGTGCATTAAAGAGTTTTTAATTTTTTAGAGTGTCACATCATACCCGCTACGTTGAAATATCACATGTCACGTTTGGGAAAAGTACATTAAGGAATTTTTAATTTTTTTAGAGTGTCACACTATACTCGTCATGTTGTCACGTTTGAAAAAAATACACTAAATAATTTTTATTTTTTTGGAATGTCACATCATACCCTACACATTGTCACATTTAGAAAAAGTACTAAGAAGTGTTTTTAATTTTTTTAGAGTGCCACATCATACCCGTCACGTTGAAATATCACATGTCACGTTTGAAAAAAGTATTCTAAGGAATTTTTAATTTTTTTAGAGTGTCACATCATACCCGTCACGTTGTCACATTTAAAAAAAGTACATTAAAAAGTTTTTATATTTTTTTGGAGTGTCACATCATACCCCTCACGTTGTTACATTTGAAAAGAAGTATACTAAGGAGTGTTTTTTAATTTTTTTAGAGTGCCACATCATACCTGCTAAGTTGGAGTGTCACATGTCACATTTGGGAAAAGTACACTAAGGAATTTTAATTTTTTTAGAGTGTCACATTATACCCGTCTTGTTGTCACATTTACAAAAAGTATATTAAAGAGTTTTTTTTTTTTTAGTATCACATCATACCCTCACGTTGTCACATTTAAAAAAAGTATACTAAATTTTTTTTAGTTTTTTTGGAGTATCACATCATACCCGCCACGTTGTTACATTTGAAAAAAGTACACTGAGGAGTTTTTAATTTTTTTGGAGTGTTACATTAATACCTGTCACATTGGAGTATTACATTATGCATGTCACATTAATAAAAGGGTATAGTTGTCTACCAAAACACTACCAAAATAAAAAATAGGGCCATACGGAAAGAAACTCTCCACTAATAGGACTTAACAGATCAAAAAAAAAAAAAAAAAGGACTAATTGGACTACTTGTTTATGAGATGAGATTTATTGGTAAATATCCCTATTTTTATTATGTTTCTTTCTCTTTTTCTTTTTTTTTTTTTAAAAAAATTTGTGCTAGAAAGGTAAGATACACAACCTATGTGAATCAAATTTGTGATGAATTTTTATATGAGAATCTTTTTTATTTGGAATGATTTGAAATGCGAGATTCTTCAAGTATTTTAAGAAAAAGTACAAAAATGACTTGAAATATAAGATTCTTCAAACATTTCAAAATAATATGGGATTCTTCAAATATTTTAAAAGGAGTGCAAAAACTCTTTAGTAAGTTTTGAGCAAATTTATAATTTCAAATTGTAACACTCCGATGTAACACTCAAACGTAACACTCCAATAGAACACTAAAAAAAAAAACGCCTTAATGTACTTTTTCTAAACGTAACACACTAATATAATACTCCAAAAAAACTTCTTAGCAAAACACTCCAATGTAACAAACAAAAAAAACCCTTAGTGCATTTTTTTCCAAACGTAACACTCCAAAATAACATTTCAAAAAAACTTCTTAGTGTAATACTCCAATGTAACACACAAAAAAACTCCTTAGTACACTTTTTCTAAACGTAATACTCCAATGTAACACTCCAAAAAAAGGATGCGGGATTCTTTAAATCATTCCAAAAGGATGTGGAATTCTTCAAACCATTCCAAAAGGAGTACAAAAATTCCTTAGTAAGGTTTGGGCGAATATACAATTTCAAACTATGAGTGTTACTTTTGGAAAAAATATACTAAAGAATTTTTTTCGTGTTTTTATGTGTTACATTAGAGTGCGTTACATTGAGGTGTTACGATTATGTTGATTGAAGTGTTATGCTTGAAAAAAGTATATTAAGAAGTTTTTGTGTGTGTTACATTGGAATGTTATGTTTGCAAAAAGTACGCTAAGAAGTTTTTTTTCGAGTTTTACATTGTTGCGTTTGAGAAAAGTATACTGAGAAGTTTTTTTTAAAGTGTTACGTTGTTACGTTTAGGAAAAGTACACGAATGAATTTTTTAGTGTGTTACATTGGAATGTTATGTTATTAAAGTGTTACATTGGAGTGTTACGTTCTTATTCATAATGTGAGATATGTTCAAAAATAAGGAAAAATCCAAAATCTCTACAGATTGCCTAAATGTGTAATTTCACATTAGGATAAATCCACTTTTATTCCTAAAAGATTAAACCCAAACGGGTAAGTGACTACTTTTTGTGTAATTTTTACTTTAATAGGACTTTTGGGTTCATATGAAAAAAAATGAAGGATTAAATAGTTCACAAAATCACATTTTAGGATTTATTGGTACTTCACCCTAAAAAACAAATAAAATTAGGTAAAATATGAATAAAAGATAATTACATTTTACATATTTTTTTTCTCTCTTTTTCCAAATCCATGAACCAAATATAACTTTAGCATCTGTGCACTTTTAATATAATCTCACTTTAATTCTTTTACTTTTAATTGAGACAATTAATCCCACACATTTCATATCAAGTTGTAATATCACTGGTAGCTCTAAAACTATCCTTTTATATTAATTTCATCATTGTAGTTTTAATTGTATTAAATTTAGGAAAAATTATCCATAAATCCTATCTTGAAAAAAGTTAAACCATTTAGTCCTTTAAGTTTTTTTGTATACCATTTGGTCCTAATGTTTGTCCAGATTTTTGAGGGTTTGATTTGATTCCATTTATTTTTACATCAATACCCTTTTGAGGGTGCGATTTCTCTCTCTCTTTGCAACTATTCATCAATGGTGAAAGAGAGAAGAAGGACTGCTTTGCCAGATACAGAGTCGCCACCTAAATATTTTATTTTTGGGAAATTTAGGAAACCTTGACTCGTGCCTAAGGCCGCGTGTCTGTTATCACCAAAGTTGCCTCGGCTCGGGAACTTGGGTACGATTAGGGAAGGTTAGTTATGAGCACCCCCGCTCGCCTGATCCGAAGATCGGCCTGTACTAACCATGATATCTAGTTTTGAAAATATTATGCGTTCTTATTCCGGTTATTAGCCTAAATTTATTATGTGATGCGCACAGCATACAAGTATAGACTGGATCGCCTGAATTGGAACAAAACATTTCATGTTTGTTTTGAAAACGGTTTGCTACTCGCAAGTAAGCTAAAATATGGATTCGCCACTCTCAAGTGGGCTTTAAAACTCACAGTCAATGCATTATTCCAATTCTGATAATCCAACCTTCACCAACAGGCATTCAGGCAGTTATATCATATAAGCATATAGCCTCATGGTAAACATGCTGTCATGGCAACACTCACACTCATGTAAGGATGCTAAAGCGTAAATGCTTACCGAGTACTCCAAGCTAAAGAAAGAAGCTAATTAGAGATCATGCATGAGCCTTAACTATGCTGAAATGCCTAATGCAACACATGCAAAAATGCAACTACAATAGGCTCGGCTATTCTAATATGGCATATGGAATGCAACTGATAACACGTAATCAACTCGAAATTGAAATACAATGTAGTTAGTATGATGCGCCGAGCCCAGTGCATGCAGGACAGATGAATGGATGCAAACATGCGAGCATAAGTGTGCTAATTGAAACATGTCCTAATCTAACCATCATAAGCTAGTAAATAAAAAGGAGAAAGACGTGGGGTTGGAAGACATACACACACTCACGCACACTTATTACAAATTCGCCCTCTCGACGGAGGGTTCGAAAGAATAATACAAAATTAATTAACTAACAAGCTAATTAAATATTACACAATCACTTAATTAATTAACAAATTAACTAGTCAACTAAAGCAGTAAAGAGGCCGCCACAACTTCACCTCGTAATGCTTGGATGATGCATTCTCGATTCGCCTTGCTCGGAAACCTGTCGCCATGCCACTGTTGCCTCTGTTTACACTGTTCTGCACCTCTAAGAACCATGAAAACATTTGTGATGCTTCTGAAACACTCCCTGCACACTTTGGGATGCCACCGGCCAAGATAGAACATTACCGGCCAAGGAAATGTGGCCATCGGCCAAAGATTGGATCACCGGCTTGACATTGATGGTCGGTCGGCAGTAAAAGTGGCCGGCCGGCCATTTCTTCCTGCAGAATACTGGTTTTGCTGCAACAGAGGACAGACAGTGCATGGCATGAAATTTTCAAGACAGTGTGTGCATAGCCACCCTCTCTATCATGCTATGATCCCAAGGGAGTATGGCCCTCGGTACTCGGGCCACCAATCATGCATTTCGACGCATGATGGCCAAAGATACCAAGTTTGTAAATCAATGTAAATGCATACAACAAAACAAATGGATACTTCACGCCCTATCATGTTGAGATCAAGGGCATCGGCGACCGAAGAGTGAGACATGCTTCGTCACTTTAAGTACGAACACATCTCATTCCTCATGTTTGGTTTGACACCCCAAACCAAACAAAAATGTGATGCATGTATGGCAAATGCAATGCAAAAACATGTAATTGATGCAATGCAACATGAGCGATGCAACGTATGCAACTAATGTAATGAAACATGAGTATGCCAAATACC